GCAGTCTTGCTATATACTTGCCAGTTGATGGTTCAGAAAATGCACCTTTGAGCTATTTCAGAGAACTGGTTGGTCATTGGTTGATGTATGTGATGCTACACACATTTCCCGTCATTGGAGAAAGTCAAGATTCCCCTGGGAGAAATTTTGCATGTAAAGACTTATGGGATGAACTAATGCCTCAATGTTGTGGGGGTGAGACTATTCAACAGAGACCCATTATAATACATTTTGATCAAGATGACATAAGATAATGTAGAAAACAGCAGCGAATTGTACTTAATCATTGACATGGATGTACCAAAGCATTTAGAACTTGTTCAAAGAAACGAAAAACTGCTTTTTTGATGTGCACAAGTGACACGATGATGTGAAGATTGGACAAGTAGTTTTGAGAATTTCAGTTCTGATCTGAGAAATGAACCAAAGTGACTGAGAAAAGTTGTTATCCATGATGTCCAGATGTAATATCTGGTATATATGGTTGCTGACCATTTTCTGGATAACATGTGAGGCTTGTTTTATATAAAATCTACCACATCTGAAAAAAAAGCTTTTGTCTGACCAAACTGTTTCCTAAAAGCTTGACACATATCATCAACTTTGCTGCCAGTAGATGCAAGAAAACTGCTTGTGATTCTGTTGAACCAATGCTTTCATTTTCTCTTTTGCAAAGTGGTTGATTTGACCTTCATATGAAATTTCCTGCTTTTCTGCCACGTCAAGTATGTCAACAAGAACACAGGGAAGTTTATTCTACTGTCACACTTACTTTCAGGGATTTAAATAGAGCCATGGAGATGAGATGAGGAGGTTCCTGTCAGAGCTTCTGCCCCACATATCTTAGTTTCTGCGTTATGCCGTTGGATCGGTGGCTTCGCTGGATATTCACTCTGCCAGCAGTGATGGACAGAAACGATGAGGCTGGAAATCGGTTAGAAACCAGAAGAAGGTTTTTCTTCGTCAGCACAAACTCTGCTGCCTCAACAGCAGCAGCCTCGAGTCCGTATCTGCCTTTATTCCATCTATTTTTATCTGGGCTTTCGTTCTTTGTACTGTTTCCACCTGAACTCTTCCTTGTTCTGTGGTTTACTTGGCCTTTACGTGTACACAATAAAAAAAAAAAAAAGAGTGTTTTTAAACAGTTTTTAAGTAATTTTTTTTTTTTAAATTTACTGTTATTTTACAGATTTTTCCTGTTTTGGTCAATTTGAGATAATATCCAATTAAATCAAAGTTTTAAAAAAGTAAAAATTTACCTGTTCAAAAATGTATGTTTTCACCAAAAACATAATTTGTGCTTTTATAACATTTAACTTTAAAATTGTTTCTGTACAATTTTTGTACAGATATTATTATGAACCCTTACTGTGTTAAGCAATGAAACCTGGAAAATAATTATTTAGATTATTGTTGTTATTTTTTCCTGTTTTGTTAAATTACAGAAACAATCTTGTACAATCACGGAAAAAAGAATTCATTCATTCAGATGTTGATGGTAAAAAAAAAAAAGATAAAAAGTGTAGTTTTATGGTCACGCATTGTAAAAGAACAAATGAATATTTGTATAAACTACTATTGGGTTTTTTTTTACAGTCAACCTGTAAATTATTACCTCTTTTCTATTATTTAACAGATATCTGTAACTCAAAAAAAAAAACAGGAAAAATATATAAAGTTAACATTTCAAAAAATTATTGACCATTTTTCAGTCCTTTATGTACATGATGTTTAAGTTCAAATAACTGCAAATTTCTGTAAAATATATAATTTAAATACTGTAAAACTGTATAAATTTACTGTCACACATTACAATATTAGCTAGCATATAAATTAATACTTTTTTTTGTGATTTTACTGGATATTATGTGTAATTTAACCATACAGGTAAAATCTGTAAAACAGTAATTTAAAGTAAATATATAGTGTAATTTTACATTAAATGTTGTAAAAGAACAGATTAGTTTTTTATGGTTAACATTTTATTTAAAATTTAAGAATAAGAAAAAATGTAAAAAAAAAAAAGAAAGAAAGAAAGAAAGAAAAGAAAAGAAAAATTCAGTGTCCTTCCGAGTTCATATCTGTAACAGTAAAACAGCCCAAAGCTGTTCAAAATAAGTCGATTTTTTCGACAATGTGATGTTTTATAATATTTTTTCCAGTATTTGAAAGGCAAACATCTTTTGCAGTTTTCTGTACATTATATCGTCTTCTTCTGCCTCCTGGTTTAGCTTTTAATGATTTTTCTGCCTCCTCATGTCTCAGCAGCTGTTTGCTGCCTGCTGACCAGCAGCCTGGTCATCTTTTATCTGCTGATGGTCTGCATCAGGTTGCGTAACACGGCAGCCTGCCAGCAGAGGGTTTTCCTCCCCGGCTGGACGAGGGATTATCCAGGATGGTCCCCTCGGAGAGCCGAGCTCTCAATCCCGTCTCATGTTTTATCATCCAGACTCTGGCCATCCCAGCCGGGTGATGTAACAGTGGAGAGATGGAGGCAGAAAGTCTGTGAAGATGCTCTGCAGGAAAATAACTGCAGCCAAAATGTTGCTGCTGCTGCAATATTTGGACTTCATGGGGATGGGTTTGGATTTTAAAGGCAAGATTTCAGTTTTCATGTTTTAGTGCAACAACAAAATTGTGTATTTAATTTTAAAAGTCCCCCCTGACCTCCTCTGAATCAGCTGATCCTTCATCTGCAGTAACTTTATTTAGTGAAGCAGAGTTTTACCTTCATACTATGAATAGTTTCAGAGTTTGAGGTCCTTGAAGTCCATAGAGGAGGGTCCACATTTATCACTTTATTGGACTTTTTCCATCATTTCTGAGCCTCAGAACTTCACCAGTACAGCAGATAGACACATGACATTTTAGGGATGAAGAACACATTCGATTTCTGGTAAAAAACTGCAACCAGATCAGTTTTACATCCATCCAGGAGTCACAGTCTGAACACTAAATCTTTTTTTTCTCTCTCTATGACCAGCTTTGAGCATAGTGCTTCAGATTCTGAATCAATGCCACGATGAGAGAAAACAGCAAAAGTTTCAGGTTTTTATCTTTAATAGTTCCTGAGATGTTGTTCAAACAGCTTCAAATTTCATTGTGAGAAATAAACTGCTGAAACTGGGTTGATGAGCAATTTATAATATATATATATATATATCTCACATACATTAAGCTATGGTTTCACAGATACCATTTTAAAAATCTGTAGTTTATGATAAAGTTTCAAGCAAATTGAGCTGAAGAACCTGATAATTACAGACTCAATAACACATTATGAATACAACAAAAAAGCACAACTAAGATAAACGTCACTAAATAAGTGACCAGATTGCTCTAATGGACATTATACTCGGATACATGTAAAAACAAACAGACAAAGAATTAAATATAAATTTCATAAAATGTTTGAATATGAACTTCCAGTTTGGACACTTGTCAGGAACCAGAGCTCCCAGTTGTTTCTCAGGACTCCTCCAGTTGGGTAACGCTGGTCTGCTGGTGCAGCTTTGAGTTTTAAGTCACGCCACCGGATTTTTGTGTTTGCTTTCAACTCCGGCCAAAGACTTAAAGATGTTAATTCCCTCTAATTGGAGAAATCTTATTCTCAGCCCAAAGGAGGTCATATGATCCGGACACATGACCGCACACATGGCCTGTTGTACACAAGATTAGTTCTGGTTCCACCCGTTACATAAGGCCCGAGAGTCCAGCAAATGTCATTGAGTTTGGATAATTGATTCACTTTGACACAGAAGTGTTTGCATCATGTGCAGATGAACCTTAGGGGAGGCGTCCAGATCTTAAAACATGAGTTAGAATCCAGGAAAAAACACCAGTGGCTGTTTTTGATACAAGAAAATACAGAAACGGATTCATGGAGGATACGTTTCACAAATGGGCGACTAAAACTTTCATGAAAGTATCCAAAGCAGGTGATCAGGTGACTGTTGAAGATGCCTCTATAAATAAGATCTGGAGTATTTTTCTGACATAAAGCATCCTGCATCCTTTTATTTCTTAATTTTCTGAAGGTTCAAAAGACTGTTGTCCTTAAAACATAAGGCCAAGCGTACACAGTTTGTCAGCCAGAAACTGAAAACAGAGAGAATCATCAGCTTTTCAACTTTCCGACGGTCCTCAAACTGCTCATCTGTAATGAGCCAAGACTTCATTAAATCATGGTGTCTCATTAAATTCACTTTATTCTCGGTGTTTTATATTTAAAAAAATATCTAAAAATGAACTGTTGGCACCAAATTCTGTAAGAAAAAAAAGAAAAGTGCGCTCATCCTTGTTTTTTGTCGTCTTTCGTCATCCTCTACTGATGCTCATCAACATTTTCAAAATAATTTGTCCACCTTTTGTGTCTTTTCGGTCAGTTTTGAACGACTCATCTGCCTTACAGTCAGGAAACTAACATGAGATATTTCACTAAAATCACTTCATTCTATGTGTTTTTATTTAAAAATTTTGCCATAAATAAACATAAAATTCTTCAAAAATAAAGATAAAAAATGCTGCTCGTGGACACTGTCAAAATATTTTCTGCATTTTCTTCTTTAATTAAGAGAAAAACAACAAGTTTTATGTCCCAGTGTTCTGTTGCTTTAGCTGATGTTTTAGGTTTCGGTATCAAAGTTGTAATTGTGGTGTCGTGACAACACTCATCCTTTGTAATCAGAAATCACAGGAGACACGTCGCTACTTTTTGTTCACAGTTTGGGGACAGTTAAAAAAATTTTCAGCAGCAAACAAAAGTCAGTTAAATCTAACAGCTAAATAAATATATTTTTGTCTGCAGTTGATGGAGACCAAACCGAAGCAAAAACACGAATATAATTGGAGTTCCACTGATCAAACACGACTCCAGGGGGATGTTAAGGCAGTTTTTTAAAGGGGTGAAGCCGGTAGTGTGGCTCAGTTTGCGTCTGTCACCTTGTTTCTGATGTTTTTTTTTGTGGTTAAATCAAAGTTTTGTCCTCATCCCTCCTCAGCCATCATGTATGTAATGGGAGCACTGGGACCAGCGGCTGGTTACCTGCTGGGAGGTGTCCTCATCGGCTTCTACGTTGACCCCAAGACGGCTGTCAACATCGACCAGAGCGACCCTCGCTTCATCGGCAACTGGTGAGAACAGTCTGCTCGGTAACATCTGCCACAGTAACATGTTTAAACGACTTTCTCAGAGCCTCAGTGATCAATAAGGTATGTTTTATAATATAATAAAATATTATCCAAAGTTAGAACAGTTCACTGATTTCGATCAGGAAATATCTGAGCCAAATGACATGACAAGACGTTTTATTTTACCTTTAATACTCGATGCTACACATTTTGGTCAATGCTGAGATCAGAAGTCAGAACTTAGGATTTGTAGGGAACAACTTACTCTTTGCTAAATGTGTAATGTCTAAATGTGGACAATTCTAAATTTTATAGGACAATACAACATGAACTAGAGCTACAATCGACCACAAACCTTGTGGTCGACTGACATGTACCAACTCTTCAAGCAGTGTTTAGTTCTGCTTTCTGCTCTCCACCTGCTGCCTTCAATTCAAGCTCAACATAAAACTCTCGTATTTTCAGTACATTAAATCCCTGTAACCTGGTTATTTCCTACTGAAACAATCAGTGCAAACTGGGAGCAGAACAGCTGCATGTTTTTATGATTTCTGAAAATATATCAACTAGTGATTCAGCACCCTTTTTTTTTTTTTTGCCATTTTGCATGTTTTTTCGTATCAATTTAGTTCAATTTGTGTTTCTTTTAGTCTGTTTTAAGCTCTTTCTGGTCATACTGTGTGTCTTTGTGTTCATTTTGCACCTCTTAAGGCCAGTTTTAATCTCTTTTTAGTATTTTTGTGCGTCTTTATAGTTCTTTCTCTGTCTTTCTGACAATTTTTTTTTGGTTCTAGTATTTGTTTGGATTAATTTTGTGTCTCTTTGCTGTTGTTTTCAGCTGTTTGTGTTCATTTTGCATCTCTTTTGGTCAGTTTTAATGTCTTTCTGTTTTTTTTGCGTATTTTGATGTTCATTTTGTTCATATTTTTTAAGTCCATTCTAATCTCTTTCTAGTCTTTATATGTGTGTTTTTGTTGATTTTGTGTTTCTAGCAGCCAGTTTTATTCCCTTTCAAGTCATTTTGAGTTTTTTTAGTGTTCATTTTGCATCTCTTTTGGTCATTTTGGCATTGTAACACTTTATCGGTAATATATTTTGCGATATGAAGAAATACAGAAATATTCACCAGATGACTTGATTAACTCTTAATTGTGCTGCTGATTTAAATGGTCAAACAAACTTTATCCTTGAGTGGTGGCAACAAAACATTGATTTACTGAGCAGCTCTCACAGGACTTAAAATGTCTTTAAGCTCAGAATACACTTTGTTCCTGCTCCGTTCTGTGATAAACGTGCGATAAAAGCAGGAAGACCACGTCTGAAGCTGGACTGTTGCCGGGAAGCTTCACGAAACCCTGAAAGCGCAGCATCACTTCTACATCCATAAAGTGCATGTTTGCTCTGCAGGTCACGTTTTTGCACAGATCTTACATCCATCTGAGAAGTTGTCGGCGTGTGTGAGTGTGATTAGTCATCTGTTTCGTCCTCCAACCGACAGCATCACAGTGACTCACCAGCTCACAGCCGCCGACTTCCTACGTGAATTATAGCAGGAAGAGGATGATGAATGTGGCGGTTTGTTTATTTATTAATGCGCACAATAATGAGCTGATATCGGGTCCAGACTGACTCCTGGATGATCTCATCCTCCGACTGACTCATCTCAATTCACATCTTGATGGAACTTCAGTGCTCCTTTAACTCCGAGCGGTTTCGATTTTCTGCTCCTGTCACGTTTTTCCTTATTTTTCACTCCAGTATAAAGTCCTGCACCTTTACGAAAGCAGAACAACCATGAAGAA